TAGGCAATTGAAGTGCTAAATAATAATATTATTTTGTACAGAAGGCCAAGGGCGTTGTTTGCTTCGTGCCATGTCGCCCATTAGAACATAAGCCTTGCAATGTACTTACAGCACAATAAGGTGCGGAAGGTCCAAGAAACCATGCTTAGGTATCTCCTTCAAGGCATTCTCGGCAAGGTTTCTGAAAATGAACATTGTGCATTCAAGGCTTTATTATAGGCCGCTATCAGCGTATATTGTATATTAATGCGCCAATTCCTTCATCAACTGAATCATTTCGGGATGAAAGTTCAAGAGAAATGTTTAAGCACAAACATTTACTGTGGCCCTGGACCGACATTTTAATATTGACTTTTTTAATATGAACCTTTTAACTTCTTAATATTGACGTTGTATCTTCGCAATATGCACGTTGCACGTAGCTTAATATCGCATTGTGGAAGTTGTTCCTTCTTAATTATATGTGAATGTTCCAACTTTGTTAATGTTCACGTTCGATCTTGTCAATGTACACCATTGATCATGCTTGATGTCAACGTTGCACCTTGCTTCTTCGCAATATGAACCATGTACCTTCACATTGTGAACATTTGACTTGCATCTTGTTAAAATCATTGTTGAACTGTCCTCCTTCGCAATGTGAATCATGCATTCTAAAAAGTACGAAGTCCCTGTCAAGCCCTATAGTTAAACAACCAGTTATGATGACAGCTGTTTCAGGTCACTTAACCTGGGTCTACCTTGTAGTGATTTTTATCATGAATGAAGGGTTTCTGATTTATTTCACATATCTTTTATAATTCATGTTCAGGCTATATAATGAGCGCTGTTTCACTAGAAGAGATATGTTCAATTCATGAGACTAATTAATTTCTTGACGGTATACTCTCCGTCAATTACAACAAAGCAAAAACAGTGTTCTGTGATCACGTTAAGAAGGCTTTTATCATAATACTTTACATCCTTCAAGCCCTATTCAGATTTTTTTGTTGTTTTTAATCATAGATACGAGAGATTTCCGTCGAGATCCACGTATTTAATTAGTATAAGAGTAAATCTTAAAATTAATGTGGCCTGACGTTGCGAACTTAGCAAGTTCTTCTTCAGAGGCTAAAACAGAAATGACAGAGGTACATACATTAACATGGGGGTGCACACAAACATGCAGGGCTGAAAGAAGAAACACAAAAGGAGGATTAGGTGGGAAAGGTGTGGAAAGATGCAGGGGAGGGTGGAGGGGAGAACAAAGAAACAAAGGGAGATGGCAAACCACAAGGGGTCTGGTGTAAACAGGGGAGGGACCAGAAAGGGGAAGGATCAAAGGTCACAGGGAGTGGTAACGGACAAAAGAGTGTGAGAGTGAAGGGATGATGCGGGGGGGGGGGGACAGTATTGAGGTGGAAAGGGATGAAAGATGGGGAAGATGGGTAAACACAAACAAGGAAGACCAGATGGATTATCTGAAACAGAGGACAATGGAGGAGAAAAGGATAAATCATTTCCAAGTTGGATGTTGAGACCATGTGGTTGAATAGTTCGAAGACGATTCATCCACACCTTCTCTCTGCTGAGGCGAACTGAGTCCTTGCGATGGCCAAGAGATTCAATGCCCTGCAAAATCATATCAGAAATGGAGTGGTTAGGCAGGTTGAAGTGATGACCAACAGGGGTGTCTAGTTTCTTGGTGTTGACCGTTGACCGGTGGGCATAGAAACGCTTCTTGAGCGTATTCTTAGTCTCACCTACATACATGCTGCACTCCACAGACCCTGCAAGAAATGAGATATATGACATTAGAGGTGTTACAAGTGATGTTACCAATGGTTCTGTGGGTAGTGACAGAAGAGTGGCCAGAAAAGGAGTCAGACTCCTGGATATGAATCTGGCAGACAACACATCTGGAACTGCACTTGAAAGTACCATGCTGGGTGGGAGGGGATGCATCTAAGGATGGGACTTCAGCTCGAACAATCAAGTCCCGTAGATTTCGAGGACGCCTGTAAGCCAATGTGGGGCCGTTGGGGATGGCGCGGGCAAGGCGATCTGAAGTATGGAGGATATGATGATTGTCATTAGTGATTTTGCGGAGGGAAGGGAGATTGGGGTGAAACGTGGTAACCAAGGGAATCATGGGTTTGGCCATGGCATCAGGGGCCTTTCCCGTGAGAGCTAGATTTCTGGGGATAATTTTAGCTCTGGCAATGGCACGATGAACTTGGCGAGAGCTGTGACCCCTGGCCACCAAGTTGTTCCTCAGTATCTGTGTATGGCGGGAGAAATCGGAATCATTAGAACAAATTCTTCTGAGTCTGAGTGCCCGGCTAAACGCTATGCCAGTTTTGCAGTGCCTGGGGTGACAGCTGGAGGAGTGGAGGTACTGGTGGGTGTCTGTGGGTTTGGAATACAGGTCAGTGGTTAGTGAGTTGCCTTGCTTGCGGACGGTGACATCCAGAAAGTGGGTTTGGTGAGCCGAGAACTCCGATGTGAATTTGATGGTTCTGTGGAAGGAATTGATGTGGTTAGTGAAGGTCAAGAGACTGTCCTCATCCCTGGTCCAGATGAAGAAAACATCATCAATATATCTCCACCAGATCCAAGGGCGACATGGGGCCGAGGCAAGAATGCGTTCTTCGAGGTCACCCATGAAGAGGCAAGCCGTCGACGGGGCAATGCGAGTGCCCATTGCAGTGCCGTGTACCTGTAGATAGTGTTCACCAAGGAAGGAAAAATTGTTCTTCGTTAGTATAAGTCTCATGAGGGTGCCTACATCACTGATGGGAGGAGTCGTGTGTCCTGCCTTGGCCAGAGCCAAGGAGCAAGCACGAACACCCTCCTCATGTGGGATGTTGGTGTACAGAGATGAGACGTCGAAAGTCCCAATGATGGCTGTGCTGGGAATCTGGTCCTTGATTCCTTCAAGCTTGCGTAGGAAGTCTGGGGTGTCGTGAATGTATGACGAAATCTGTGGGACAAGGGGTTTGAGAAAACTGTCAATGAACAGGGAGATGCGTTCCGTGGGTGAGCCATTACCGGAGATGATGGGTCTACCGGGGTTGCCAGCCTTGTGAATCTTGGGTAGAAGGTAAAATCTGGCAGTCCTACAATCACAGGGAGAAAGAAATTTGTGAGCTTTCTTCGACAACTGGTCACGTGATCGCATATAGTATAAGAGTATGATCTAAAGATGTAATTGAAAGGAACATATGCGGTGGTACCGTTACGAAGTAATATCCACGTCTTACAAAGCATGACAACAATAGTAAGGGCATACATTGATATTTATTACTTCGGGGAAATATCGGGGATTTCACCAACGGTCATATTCTCGTCAGTTACTGTAAAAACGATAGCGCGCGGGGCACAGGTGGCTTCGGTCAATTATTTAATTGTTTATTCAGTGCATACACCCGCAACATACTCGAGCTTGTCTATAGGGCTAGACGTTTTTATGGTTGAATGCGCGATTACCGCGCTGCAGCGATAACCCGCGCACCCGCGCGAGAGAGCGCCGCATCACGACCGCACCGTTGCGCGAATCACGTGTTGCCGGGGCACCCTATACGAAGTTGTTTGCTTGGAGTTCATGCATGCATGACTGGTAGTCAGCCAATTGCGAATATTCTTCATGTTGCGGTCAGGCGCGGATATCTGGGGGGGGGGGGGGGATATTTAGGGTTCGACTTAGCAATAGCCCGTAAACGAAATGCTCGTCAAAACAGCGGGTACCTCATACTATTTGGTGAGGAACCCTGTTGGCGAGTCAAAAATTATTGGGATATGGCAAAGATGAAAGTACAGGAAGAAAGAAATCATTACATTCAGAAAGCAAAACCGGTATAAATGTGTGTGTAGTAAACGGTTGAAATGATTAGATCAGGTTATTTGAAACTATGACAAATCTGCTTCAGGATCCATGTTTTTACATGTATGCCCAACCTTGGGTTATGGTTAGCCTGAACGTGAATTTTAAAAGATGAGTGAAATAAAACAGAGAGCCTTGGGTCATGATAACAATCAATACAAGATAGACGCCCAGGTTAAGTGACATTGAACAGCCGTCAGATTGAAACGCCATCATAACTGGTTGTCTAACTATAGGGCTTGGCAAGGACTTCGTACATTGCGAAGGAGGACGGTTCAACAATGATATTAACAAGATGCATAACATTATTCACTTGCATAACAGTGCAAATTTGCTGACAAGATCGAACGTGAATATTAACAAGTTGGAACATTCACATTAAGAAGGAACAACTTCCAAAATGCGATATTAAGCCACGTGTGGCAACGTGCATATTGCGAAGGTACAACGTCAATATTAAGAGGTTACAAAGCTCACATTAAAAGGTCAATATTAACATGTCGTTCCAGGGCCACCGTACAACTTGACATAAACCTGCAGTGTCGAAGTTGAATTTGGAAAAGAAAAAGTTATACGAGCTTTTTATTTCAAGAAATGCTTGCTTTGTTGTAATCAATTATGCAATGAAATCAACTAAAAATACACAAGACAAAGCAACCGTAGTAAAGCTGGTACAAGATCACAATATACTATTCAATTGATTGTGAATGGCTATTCACTGCTGTGTTTTATCCATCTGGTCTACACCTAGGGGTTGAAGCGCATTCATCGGCGTTAAATGATTACACTGCCCGGCTCACAAGGAGCAGTCAGTCAGTCACAGAGATACTAAAAGACTCTTGGCTGCTTCATTGTTGCAATGTAATCCTATCTGAAACCACCACCCAGCTTTCCAGGAGCAGTCAGTCAGTCAGCAGTCGCGGTGAAAAGGGGGGGATTTTTTTTTTTTTTTTGGGGGGGGGGTTTGGGGGAGGGGATTGGTTTGGAAGTTGGTAGTCTATGATCAATTTGCTGATTAATGATGGAAGACAACCGCCTCTTGACCTCTAGATCTTGACCAATCAATGGGCGCTTTCTATATAGGGTATTTGGTCATTTGCAAAGGCAGGCAGCGGTCATGCGCTGTGTATTATCTTACACAGTGCCAAGCTTGTCCAATAGATATATGCCCATTGTTGTATTACAAATAAAAAAAAACACTGCATTTGAAATGAAAAATCACAAATATAGCCAGATTTCGAAATGTAATGACGTCACAATGTAGTCGACTCCGATTGGCTGGGCCGCAGGGTTGCATAAATTTGCGTGCTTAGATATATCGACCGTGGAAAAAAATCGAATAACGGGGACGGGGACCATCATCTGAGGTCCCTGTTCAAATCTATTTCATACGTATACGTATATATTTTTGCAGTTTAATGCCATGTCAGTGGTTCTCCAGTCTTTGTATTGTACAGTAAAAGTTTCAGTTTAATGTACAGTGAAAAATTTCAATTTAAGGTACAGTACAAGAGGGATTCGATTCTTCTCTTTGGCTTTTTGTTTACAACATTGTCCCCGGTTTTCTCTTTCCTATGATGTTCTTGAAGGAAAACGGGGGTAGAGAAAAACGAGACAGGGAGTCTTTTTTTTTGGGGGGGGGGGAGTCAGTCAGAAAAGGTAAAACAAGGACGTTGTAGTGCCAGCAATAATAATTGTTTCACTTACAGGACTTTGGTGTCGTTTGGTATCCCTTCGGTAACTCCATCAGACCTCTATCACTGCAGTCTATGCGAGTCCCGTGGTCGCTACACTCACACACCTCACACGCTTCCTTGCTTGCATGAACCGTCAAGATAAGAGTTGCATAGTGCAACCATCATCAGTCCTAAAATTAAGGTACCAACCCCGCTCCATGCCTATATAACACGCGGTTACGCCGGGTGTTGCATAGACCGTCTGATTTCAAGTATGTGTTATTGATTTTAATTCTCGATTTACTTTCAAACGTACTGTGTTAAATAAATCTGAACAAAAGCACTTCCTGTTCAGTCGAGATCATTTGTTGCAGGTCTCGAAGAGCTGCATGGTAAAAGTCGGACGGGGGCCCAAGGGAAATTCCCAGATTTATTTTTAGTCAATGACGACATCGTGACAAACATGATCCATTGTTGTTAAAACAGACCTGCAAACTTATTGAAGAGTAAAGCAGGAAACAACTATAGTTTTGATTTCTATCACCTCGACTCAAAATTCCATCTTATAGAAGAGATTAATCTAGATCTAGTATTAATCTTATTTATGGAACACGATCGAGTACCTTCTTTTACAGTGGGTGAATTC